GCTTCGTCACTACTGTTCGATAATTCTCTAGTATAAAGAATTGTATTAAGGTTTTTCAGGTCTAGTATGAACCAGTGAGTTATATTTGATTTCTTGACGAGGAAATATGAGGAGAGAAGAGATTCTTCCCTAAGGATAATTATTGAAACTGTATCTATATGCTTAGCAGCTTATTTATAGCCTTTCTCATCTCAACCTAATTTCTTTCCTGTATGGAAGTTATTGGCCAAGACTGTTGGTAAGGTTTCTTGGCAAAATTCGTTTGATAACCCTGCACCTAACTCAAAATGGAAGGATAATTGGTTGGAGCTTTACAATTTCTGATTTGTATACAGTAATTGATCCTGTACTGCTGCTTAACTCTGTTGAAATTGTTCCTCTGTTTCGTTTAAAGCCTGGGATGTTGGCGGTTATTAAAGTACTAGGAAATAACGGCTTCTAGAGCAGATGTGCTCCTATATTCTTCATATCTCGATTGTATTTTACTCATGTAGGCGTACGCCCCGAACAGTAGTTCGTCAATAGACCCCTCCACACATACTTTTTGGTGGTGAAGTTGGGATGAGGAATGATCAAATACCGCCGATGTAACGATATGGAGTGGGAGGCATCAGCCAAAGTTAAGTCCCATTGACATATTTCCCAAAATTTCATTGGATTCGTTTTTACAATTTATAATTGGGTCTAGCTACTGCAGAAAGACCCATTACTAGTTATTACTGTGAATTGATGAGGAACTCATTCAACAGACCTTTCTGGAAGAATGGATTGGATTTCATCAGGGTTGAGCCTCGCGGAATCATTACCTTAACAAACTTTAATCGGAGGATACTTGGTAACCATTTCAGCTCTGGACTCTGGTCGATTCCTTCAGTGCGGGAAACCTTTCCACCCCCTGCAATTTCTTCGTGTATCTCCGGTCCAAAAAGAGGCCTCAGAATCAGGATTTTTTTCCCGAGAAATAACTCTTCAGGAGGATGAGCTTATGTTAATTCTCTCTCTGATTCTTGCTGGGGATCCTCATCAGGAAGCTCAACTGGTAGATTCTCACTTTCGAAACAATTATATATGATGCGAGTGTGAGTTGCTCCAGCTACTGATGCCACTGGTCGTGGAGTCTAGTGTAGAAAAAAGAGACGAAAAAATAATTGAGCTCTGTCTACAGTATATATACCTCATATATTGTGAATGTGAGGCTCGGATGAACGGAGGAGTGAGGTTCCCCTCTCCCCCCCCTTTTTTTTAAGTTTTGACTCAATCAAGTATATACCGATAAGAACAATTTTGTTTTCTACCTGTCAATATTGACAAGATATACCTGCCACGTAGTGACATTAACAGAAACAAGAATACCACAAGAAACTGTTCATTAATCAGCTGTGCACATATTTAGCTTTTCTCAGGCCAGTCTCGGGCAAGTCTATAGTAGCGGCGCCTCGTATGAGTGCCTGTATATGTTAGCGATATCTCCTTATATAGCTACGCCATTGTAGCTAGAATGTGGTAAAGATCCTTGGTGTCCTTAGTCAGGAAATACGAATAATAAAATAAAAAACTTTGGAGTTAATTCCATCATTATTAGGGAGGATTGCCTCTTGTAGTTTACATATTCTTCGTTCTATCCAGCGTTTGCCGGATGTCTATAACAAAAAAACCAAACCCTGCATTCAGTTGATAAACAAGGTCATAGTACCGTAGCGGCGCCTCGTATGAGTGCCTGTATAGTACATTTGAAATACATTTTTCATTTTATCCAGCGTGTGCCGAATATCCATAATGAAAAAACCAAACCCTGTATTCAGTTGATAAACAAGGTCATAGTACCGTAGCGGCGCCTCGTATGAGTGCCTGTATAGTACATTTGAAATACATTTTTCATTTTATCCAGCGTGTGCCGAATATCCATAATGAAAAAACCAAACCCTGCATTCAGTTGATAAACAAGGTCATAGTACCGTAGCGGCGCCTCGTATGAGTGCCTGTATAGTACATTTTTCATTTTATCCAGCGTGTGCCGAATGTCCATAATGAAAAAACCAAACCCTGCAGTCAGCTGATAAGCAAGGCTATAGCACATTTTAGCTATATTAGAGGCGCCTCGTATGAGTGCCTGTATAGTATATTTTTCATTCTATCCAGCGTGTGCCGGATGTCTATAATGGAAAATCCAAATGCTGTCGAATTAAAACTGAACATTCCTATCATGCTTTGTGTGTCCACCATTCCTAAATTTCCAGCTATGATGTAATTAGGTAATGTGTAGGTACTTACTCGATAAACTCTACTAAATATTTCTGGGCACTCTAATTTTCTTTTTCAATTTGGGTATCTTCCTGTAATGTTTTGTTGATTTTCCACTTTCGCCCATGATAAGGTACACTTTTTATCACTTTACTAAAACTAAAACACCTCTAAATCAACACTTGTCTCTGAAACGTTCATACCCTAGCGGTACGAAAAGAACAATGACTATCGGCTGCTAGGCGGTATCGGTTGGGCACAGGAATGTTAGGTATCAGGGTGGATGTTGAAAATTTGTCTTTGAACTTCGTACCTAGTAGAGTCGAAAGGAACGACTACAAGTGGTAATTTTTATAATTCGAGACGAAAATGTGAAATATAATTGATTTTGAAATCTGTACTGATCGATATTGATGAGCTGAGAAGATGAAGAACCATAATCACCACTTTCAGGACTAAGATAAGAAGACGGGACATCATGCATAATGCAATTCAGAATCTGAGGAAACGCGTAGAATTGTGTTAGAAGTGAAAAGTGGAGCATTTCGAGCTTCTTTTATAACTTTGTTTTGTTTTGCGAAGAATAAACTTCTAGCACATTAATTATTTATTTAAAGAAGATTGCAAACAGGTTCCTACCCAGCGAGCACAAACATCCCTGGGATGTTTTGGGAAGTTTTGAAAATGTTGGCATAAAGATGTTATTTTGAGACGTAATATGCACTGACCAAAGGGTCTTTGAAGGATATTGAAGTATTGTTTTTGTTCTTTTGTGGCATTTCTTTGTTTGCCCCACCACAACGTCTCATGCTTACGTCACAATACGATGAATTCTGATTTGTTTTCGATTTTGTTCTTCTTGTTCGCAATTGGCATTCGCGTTTGCAGCGTGTCACGCTTACATCACGCTGCTAACGAACAGAAAGGAATTTGGTGAAGTTTATTCTGTTAGAAGACTTATTTAGTTTGTAATAATGACCATCAGATGCAAGATGTGTTGTTCGGTGCCTCAGTGTGATCAATATATAAAAGTACGAATTTATCAATACACAGCATCTCCGCAGTTGCAAAATTATGCATTGTGGAGAACATTTCGAAAATTGGGAAACCTATTTCCAATTATATGTCTGTGTGTAGTAAGCACTACTCAGAAACCGATTTAGATGGTAATTTCATATCAATCAAGAAAATATTTTTATGTTCAATCTATTTTTAATGCATTTTTTCATTCAAGGGAAATGTAATCCTAATGCAAAAGTTCATTTTGACAAAAGGCTTCAGAAAAGTACCTGAAAGATGTTTTTTTACAGAGATTTAGTGTGCGCAAGACGCGTTGAAAATGTTCTGTTGTGTCCATGAAAAAGCTTTAAAAAGAACTAGGGAGAAGGTAGTTTTGTGACATATCAAGGACGATAATTGCCGCCTCGGCGGACATTGGCTGTTCTATAATAGTTATATTCATCTGTGAACAGAACATCGCAGTGGAGGTTCAATGTCTCGAAATCTCGTACTTTTAACATCTCTGAGATGTTTTTGTGCTCGCTGGGTAGAAACCTAATTAAATGAATCTTGAATCTTAAAATCAAAATTAGAGTTAAAAACAACACAAGTTGCATTCTAAAAACTAAAACTAACACTAACGTGCAATGAGAGCACCAATTTGAATTTGAAGTTTTTGAAACAGGTTGAGAAGTAGACTACAGTATAAGTAATAAATTATAGTATTCAGTACCTATTTAAGTTGAAAGAAGCTGGGTTGAATATATTTGATGTTTAGAATTCGAGATATTCAGAGACCAATCATGGCATTGCGAATAGTAGTTTTGAAAGAAACAAAGTTCATAGTGAAAATATCAATGCACACTAGTTTATCAGAGAACTTGTTGTATAGTGTACACATTTTATCAATAATTAGATTAGGACACTTGCTAGTAAGAAATAAAATGTGTTTTGGTCGAAGATTGGGTTTTGGGATACGTTTTTTTTTTTGGACAATAGCATTACACTTTCAGTAATATTTGTTAATAGTTTGTGAACAAATGTCATCTTCCGTATGAGCCTTCTGTTTTCCAATTTAGGAATATTGAATTCTTTACGAAGTGGCTCGTAGGACGAACGATCAGGACATCTTCGATATTTTTTGTAATGTGAAAAAAATATGAATTTATTTTGAACCGTTTCGAGACATTTTATGAGGTGTAGCTTTCCAGGGTCCCAGATTATGGACGCGAATTCTAATTTGCTGCGAACGAGTGAAAAATATAGACTGGAAATGTTTTAATATTTTTAAATTCAAAAGTTACGCGTTTAAGAAAACCTAACATTCGAGAAGCACTTCTTGATACATCGTTACGTCGTTTCTAATTCAAAACCATAGTTTTCAAGTAAGTAATAAATTGTCGTAATTCAGCTTGTTAAACAAAACTGTTGGCGTTCTTTCCAAAGCACTCTTCGCAAAAATGTTTTTTTCCCAATTTTGATGAACAGGAAGAATTCGATCATAACGTGTGATGCATCATTGTAATAAAAAAAAACCGAAAATTATAAATTTCCGTTTTTTTCCAATAATTCGAATACTAAAAATAACACATCAAATTTCCTTGCATATAAATGTTCAGCATGAAAGTGCGCAACTTTGCCGTGATTTAATCGAACTCGTATTTCTTCTAATACATGGTGGAGCTCGAAAAACAGACACCCTGTATAAATCATACAAATGTTTGCTTGTCTTCTAACAAATATTTAATCCCATTTTTCAGGTCATCAACATTATCGTCCTGGTCCTTTACCGGACAGGATTTCAAGGATACTTTTTGGGAGTGGGGGGAACTTGGAATTTGAACGAAGAAAAGAATCCTGATGCTGAGATTGTAGCATCAGGCGTTTTCGTTGGATATTGTATCTACACAGTTGTCACTCTCATTAGCTTGTGTTTTGCCAGCGGAGATCACAAAAAGTGAGTACTTATACCTCTTTAAACTTATGACACCAATTTTCATCACCTACTAAAATATACTCGAAGTCATCTTCACGACATCATCATCATTATTATTTCCAAGAAACAATTGACGTATATGTTCATAACAGGGAACATTAAAAATTAACCATAATGTATTAAGTACTTTACATTTAAAATGTAGTAGGTATAGGTATAATAATTATTCTAGTAATTCTCAGAGTTTTAGCTGATCCTTGTTTGAGTGAATGAATGATTAAAATAATTCTACAAATACACGGAAAAATGAGAATTCGTTGTTTCTCATTCTCAACAGTGACTACCATCATGAGTAACCATAACCATAAAATAGGACTTGACACTTGACAATTGCAGATTGGCTCACACTCATGTGCGGGCTATTCGAATAGATTAGTACAGACATCGAAGGTACAGACATGGTACAGACCAATCAGAACCATGGAACTTCATTAGAGACAGGGTACTACAATTAATCACCGCCGGGGGGGGGGTAATGCTACAGCACCTTTGCTACAGCGGAAGCAAGTTAATGAATAATCTGCAATAGTATGATTCATTTTACAACTGAAAAGTTAAATGGCATATAATACTTGGTAAGATTGACTGATATGTGACTGCACGACTTCTTTCCTGTCAATAAAAGTTTGATCCAACATTGCTCATCATATTTTCACAATCAAAATTATTGAAATAAGGTATAAGCTGTTAGTTGATTGAAATTCCTGTCTGTTTTCGATGCAATTAATGAGTATTTCAATCAGATTCAGTGATTTTGCAATATAATAACCTTCATTATTTCCAAAGATATATTTCTGAACTCTCAGAGTTGCTTTGATATTTGAATAGTTGTAGATAAAGCGATTCTACTCGCACATAATGACTATTACCCACTCAGATGATTACAGCACTCGCCTTCGGCTCGTACTGCAAATCTCATCTTCTGGGGTAATAGCTATCATTATGCGCTCGTTGAATAAAATACTATTATATGATATATGATCTCTATATATGGATGACATGATAAACTTCAGACGAATAAATATTTCATAAGTTCTCTCTTGTTATGGACCTATGGTATGTTCCCCATTAGCCATATATATAAGTGCTCAAAGAATTAAGTCGACCACTCGAATTTCCGACGTTTTTCAAACCACGATAACTCTTTTGCAAATGAACCGATTTTTACTTGTTATACCACTAGAGGTCAAATTATTTCCGGAAACTTTTTCGAGCTCATGGGTATTTTGAAACTTATTCCAAGTCGAAGACAGGGGATGATGTTCGAAATATTCATGAGCGAGAAAAATTTCCCGAAAAGTAATTTGACCTCGTGTGGTATTCGGTAAGAAGATTTCACACCAGATTGTGTTTTTGAATTGAATATAATTTGAGAATTTATTTGTTCATTTGATTCGCATACAGGTTCATGGATGAATTTAGTTTGGGTCGCAGTTTCGGCACCAATAATAGATTTCTAATTTCTACCTATTATATTTACATAAAAATACTAGTTTAAAATGTGATATATTATATTCTTCTATTTTATATTAACTTTGGGATACTACAAGTGATGAGAAATTATAATTTTGTCCGTATTCCCCAGGAATTATTTCATCCTTCTGCAAATCAACTTTCTCAAATCTTCAGTCAATATCTCGTAATGGTTTTGGAATTTCTGTCCTTCCTCATACAAGATGTGAAATATCGATGGTTTTCGATATTCTGTGACTTTATGCATTTCTGTGGATTCAGGAGAGTTCAGGCGATATTCAAATCGTACTGCACTGTTATAAGATCGAATTCATTCCTGCTCTTTGAGCAGTTTATAAAGAAAATATGAAAGTGAACAAGTACAAAGAGGGGGATTGATAAGAGTGCTCTCATAGGAAGTAAGGAAAGTTATATTGCTGAATGAAAAAAGAAAATGATGAAGGGTTACATTTCAAAATTACGGGGATTCAACAAAGACCCAAGCTTCAAAGAATAGACTTCTATCAAATATTATTACCAATTTCACAGGTTTCCAGGTAAATAGGTTAGAACTAATTAGAAATAGCATTGTCTCTCCATGTTCAGCAAACAATGAGAAATAGGCACCTGCTTGGATGATACAGGATGTCAATTTGAAAACTATCGATCCTCATTAATATATCTTCTTCTCAGTAAATAATATGACAAATCGAAAAAGACACTCACAATGAATATTTTCATCGAAAAAGTTATTCTCTGGTTATAAAAAAAATCAACAATAAGCATTAGACCGTGTTTTATAGGTTACCCCATGCATATACAAGTTGAAGCAACCTTTGTTTAAACTGAGTAGGTACCTTATCTTAGAGTTTATCAGATTTATCTTGGCATACGCCGAATCAATGATATGATTCATTCTGATGTCAGTATGGAAGCTCCAAAATAAGTTGTTACCGATTCATGTCGCTCAAAAAATTAGCACTATATATATATATATACAGGGTGTTTCCTAACTGCAGGTGGTGATTTGTCAGGTCATTTTAGGAAGAAAAGTTTCCATTAACATATATCCGGAGTTTCTTTGTTTCTGAGATACAGGGCGTTGATATTAAAGAAATAAAAACGGTAATTATAAAATATCATGAATATCCTAGAACCGATTTGGTTGAAATTTTTTACTTCCATTTGAACTAATAAGCCCCTCATTTAGCTCATTTATTCAGATTGAAATTATTGGGGCCAGTGGCGTCTCAGTGGGCACCACAGCTACAATATTGTGAAAAAAGTACGCCACTGACGTTTTTTGATAAATTTTCATCCATTCCCAGATTGAGCAACTTAAAATACAACTTTTTGGTCTCCTGCATTTTCTTTACATCCATCAGCTTCGTTTTCGAGAAAAAAAATCAAAGCCACTGTATTGCATATCATGAACACCTGCATTGGAGAAATGAGTTTTCCGTTATTTCCGACAAAAATTTTATTGGCACTTGATATACTGGAATTCTAGAAAATTTGACAAATAAAAGTACCAAATTTCAACCAAATCGGTTCCAGGATATTCATGATATTTTATAATTACCGTTTTTTTTTTCCTTTAATTACAACGCCTTGTATCTCAGAAACGAAGCAACTCCGGACATATGTTTATAGGAACTTTTTTTTTTTAAATGACCTAACGAATCACCCCCTCAAGTTAGGAACCGTAGTTAGGAAACACCCTGTATAAGCTATAGTTTATTTCATTATACCAGTATTTCACTTGATGAAGCTACTGTGTCAGCAAAAGATGTCGTGTGATTAGATTGTAGATTGTAGATTGTAGATGGTCGTATAGGCTAAGAGACCTCTCGATCACTGCGACCTAGAAGATCTATTGTGATTACCCCTATCCTGTTTTGGTCCTCTAACCCTAGACTTCTGATGAAGCCTACGATTTTCCTGACGGTTGACTTTTCCACTTCAGCAGGGGTGAGATAGACCTGTTCTAGGTGGTTCAGCCTTTGGCGGACTAATACTTCACATGAGCAAAGTATGTGTTCCGCGGTTTCAGTCGCATTGTTACAAAAGCGGCAAGTGTCAGTCTCCGCCAGACCCATCTTTTTGAGGTGGTACCTCAGAGGGCCATGTCCTGTGAGAAAGCCTGTGATAAGCTTTAGCTCTGGTTTGCTGAGGCTGAGTAGCTCTTTGGCTCGGTTCTGCGAATGGTTGATGAACCTTTTCGCTTATCGTTGACCTGGAGTTGCTCTCCAGTAGGAGGACTTTTCAATTTCTTCCCAGTTCCCGAGTTCTCCCTTTAGGTGACATTTGCTTATCCCACAAAAAGGCTCAGGACCAAAAAGTGCAGATGCTGCACCTTTTTTTGCAAGTCGATCAGCTGCCTCATTTCGTTTGATCCCTTCATGCCCTGGAACCCACATTAGTGTGATTAAGAATTTCGTGTAAATCTCATCGTTTTTTTTTTAGTTTTTACATAGATATTTGTGTTGCTGGGCTGGGATTTCTAGGAACTGGAAATGAGTCAGCTGATACTATGGCGTATGACACAGGATATCCTATGGATATCCGTTCCATATACAATAGGCCTGTGACAAAATATGTTTTCAACTGTGAAAAAATAGTAACTTCACAAAAAGTAATGATTTTAATTTTTTTCAGTACCTTCACTGATGTTCTGATGAACATCATTGGCGTTATTATGTGGGTAGCAGTTGGAGCTACTGCCCTTCACTATTGGCATGGTTATTTGGGTGAACACAAGTACACGCACGTCGATTCAGAGAGACAGGTAGAGTATTTCGAATTCCGAAATTTTTATTGAAGCTGATGCATATCGCACCCCCGCTTCAAAAGTGAACACAGCTCGAAAATCGCGGATTTCAAGATTTTTATGGCATTGGGTAGAACAATCACTGAATTTCGATCTCTTGAGTGTCACAACTGTAGTTCTAATAGTTTTTACGAGATAGCGCTAGTGTCATTATTACATCAACTCAAATTTCCTTTGCATGATTTTTAAGAACTGTATTATCTCGAATCATGTCACTATTATTATAACTGTAAGTTAATTTCATCCTGAAAATCGATGGCATTGGAATGTACCTTCTAGGTCTAGGACATTCCATGGTTGTTTAGAAGGGACATTATATATAAGATCTGAATTTATGTCAGAATATGTACTATTCGGGACATTTGATGGATGTCCCGAATGGAACGTTTTCAAATTATATCCCATCAGGGACATGCCAAGGACGTCCTTGCATAGACATTCTACAATATGTACCACTTAGGACCTCCAAGAGATGCCATTTCTTAGACATTTGTAATGATGTACCAGCTGGGACATTCCATGGACGTCCTTGCTTGGACATTACATGAGGTGTACGGGATGAGACGTCCCAAGGACACTCTTTTTTTTTAATCACTTGAAGCGCACGAAAGGAAATCCCTATAATGTTCGAAGAACATCTTGCGTTTCTAGGGAGGATAGGGACAGGAGGAAGGTATTGGAATTTTTTTGAACTTCTGGAGATTATATTTTGTTGGGAATACTTCCTCAGGCAATGAATTCCAGAGCCTAGCCGTTCTTTGCATGGAGGAGTTTTACTAAAGTGCTGTTCGACTTCTTTCGAGGTTTACAACGATAGGATGTGCTGACTGGGCTCATCTAGTTCGTCTAACTGGTACTGCCAGTGGATGAATGATAGCAGAGATTCCCGAAGAACATTTCCCGTGGAAGTATCGATAAAAAAGTGATAGGTCGCCAATAACCTTCCTACGGTGTTCCAATGATGTCAAAGAGTGAGTGAGTGTGGCGTCACCCACCAGGCAAATAACTCTTCTCTGGATGGAATCTGAGAGCATCAGCGTATGTTTTGGTGCTGAACCCCATATGTGGGAACAGTATTCTAGAACAGGCCGTATCAGCGCTTTGTAGATCATGAGAAGCTGTTGAGGTGTAAAGTAGCTTTTCGCACGGAACAAGAATCCGAGGTTTTGTGAAGCAGCTTTTGCGATGGATATGACATGATTATCCCATGAAAGAGTGTTGCTGATGAAAAAACCGAGCATAGATATGGTGGGCTTGGTGGGGATGGTGATGCCAGACATTACAATATCGGGCATACTGAGTTCCGCCTTTCTAGAGAAAATACATGCTTGAGTTATGGTGGCGTTGAATTCAACTAGGTTGTTGGTTTCCCAGGCTGTGATTTCAGCAAGGTCTTCATTGACAGCATTGACCTGCCTGCGCCGTGATTTTTAGTTTCCTGGGAAGAAATGGGAATTCCGGAAGAGAACGCAGTATGGAGGGTACTATCATCTGCAAAACTGTGGATGGGGCAAGTTGTTACTCCCAACAGATCATTGATATGAAGAAGGGATAATGTTGGTGCCAAAATTGATCCTTGTGGTACGCCGGAATTGATGCCAATGGTATCAGACGATACACCGTCCACCACCACGTGAAGCGATCTGCCTGAAAGAAAACTCGATAAGAGATGGCATAGCTGAGGTGGTAAGCCGTATGATGGTAGTTTGTGGAGGAGTCCTTCGTGCCAAACACGGTCGAATGCTTTCGATATGTCCAACGCGGCAGCTAGAGATTCCCCGTGTTTTTCTAATGGAGCTTGTCATAAATGGGTGACGTAGGCAAGTAGATATCCAGTAGATCTTCAGGTTCGGGACATACGGACTTGAATTGTACCAAATAGGGACGTCTCTAGGATTTTGCGTGCTATAAGGGATAGGTCATTTCTCAGTTTCAAGATTCTGGAGATTGAAAGTTTTTGGGAATACTTCGTTGGCGAAGAATTCCAGAACTTTGCCGTTCTATATACACACGTGTTTTAGTATAGAGGTTTTCGACAGATCTCGGGGTTGCCCAATAATATTATTAGTGATAGATATTTCTGGAGAACATTTTCCGTGGAAGTATCTATGAAAAAGTGAAAAGTTAACTACTTTAATACAGCGTTCAATGATATCAAGGAATTGATGAGAGGTTTATTTTGCTATCAGAGAGTCAGAATAATCAGTTTGGAGTCAGAATTCTGATTTTATAGTCGAAAAAAAGGTAGAAATTCACCTATTTTATTTTTTTCTTCTAGGTCGGTCTTGCTCTTGGTGCCATGTGTATCCTCAATGGAGCAGCCTATCTTGTGGATTCAGTGTTATCAGTAATATTCTTGTTGAAAGCCAAGGTTCAATAGGAAGGACTCTGTCGGATCTTTCATTGAACGTTATTTGAATAGTAATTTATAAGTTCATAAGTTAATTTTTTACACAAAATCTGCATGACAAAGCAGCAGAAGTAGAAGTTTAGAAATGTAGCACTACTTTATCACGGACTGGTCAAAGTTTTGCAAAAACTACCCATCTATTTTTCTCGTATTGATTGATTGTGATTGTGCTCATACTTCTTGATGACGATTTTGTCACCTCACCTTTATCAAAATTCGTAAAATTTGTCCTCGTGTTTCTTCATCACTTTTGTGCTTGTTTTTTGTCACCATTGCACAACTCCGTGAATCAGGTAGTACTGCAGGCTTTGCTATAATTTTGTACTTCGTTATAATATGTTTTTCGTATTATTCAATGAATGAACGAATGTGCATTTCATGTAACTTTTTCTAGTAGAGAGGTTCCTTAAGAAAATTTGGATATGTTAGAAAGAAGAACTCGCAGAAAATTTTTAATAATACTTACCTACATGTTTTACTCTTATTACCTATGTTTTGTTTCAACTCTCGTTTCAAAATGCTTGTTAGCATTATTTATAATTATAGAATTGTAGTGTATTGATTATGATAGAATAAATCCGAAAATGATAGATAATGGATGAACATTATTAATATTATTTTCCTCTCCTAGCAATCTGTTTCCATAATAGCTCTCATCACTACCCCGTATCTCAGTACAGAAGGCATTGTCATAATTTTTCATCTTCTCATTGCTCAATGAGTGATTTTGTGATGAGGAACTAGGTTATATGTTGAATCTTATTCTATAGCTATTTGTGAATTTAGAGCGCAAAGTGATAGATTGCCGCTCGACAAAGAAAGTTACCGCGCGATGCGGAGCGGAGCGCGGTAATTTTTGGAGAGCGGCAATAACACTTTGTGCTCGAAATACACACAAGATTGTTTCTACTAACGCAGCTTTTGGAAATATGTCCAAAGGAAACAAAAAAAGAAAAATTGAAATAACTGACAAGCCAGAAAAAAAATGTCGGGCCTACCGAGAATTGACACTGGACCACCAGCGTGGCAACCTGAGCTTCAGACCTCTGAGCCATAGTACGATAAACTCTGCAATCAAATTGAACATTACTCATTGATGCAATAAAATAAAGATACACTGTATTTCTGATGACAACAAAGAGTTTAATTAAGTAGTAGTAGAAGTAATTCATTTCATATGTAAGTGGGTCTGGAAATGCATAGTTTTCAACATACAGTGTGTTGAAACTTTTAAAAAAGATCGTTTTTTTATGAATATCTCAAATGTCTTGAAATTTGACAATGATATTTCTTGTCATGAGGGGCTGATGAAGCCATAATTCAATTGAAGTTATAAAATCCAGTGGCGTCCCAGGGGGCAACCTACCCAATATTATTGTCAATAAAATGTGCGTCACTGATTTTTTTGAATTCTGAATCTTCATAACCTATTGACCAACTAAAAAGACAACATTTTGGTCTCTTAAATTGTTTCGATAATTTGCTTCATTTTCATGGAAAAAAAATAAATACCAATTTATTGCATAAATTTGTGCCAAAAAATTCCTCCAAAAACTGTGGTGAGAATGAATGGGTGATCAATGTCCATAGACATAGAATAAGTGTGAAGATTAATTTTCTTCAAATATTTTATAATACACGTTTGACACACTCTACACTCTGTATATCGAGAACTATGTATTCTCGGTCCAGGAAGGCGTAGTTTTTGATAATACAAAGTGAGTCAGACGTGTATTATAAAATATTTGAAGAAAATGAATCTTCATTCTTATTCTACGTCTATGGACATATGGATCACACATTTAATTTCACCCCTGTTTTTGAAGCAATGTTTTGCACAAATTTATACAATGAATTGGTATTTATTTTTTTCCACGAAAACGTAGCAAAATTGCAAAACAATTCAGGAGACCAAAATATTGTATTCTTAGTTAATCATGAGGTTATTGAGATATAGAACTCAAAAAAAAACACATTTTATTGACAATAGTATTCGGTAGGGTGCCCCCAGGACGCCACTGGATTCCACAATTCCTATTTAATTATGACTAAATCAGCCCCTCATGACAAAGAATATCATTGCCAAATTTCAAGAGAATCGGTCGAAGGATATTTGAGATATACATAAAAATCTGGTTTTTTCTAAAAAGTTCAACACACTGTATCTTGAAAACTATGCATTTCCGGACCCAAGTATATATGAAATAATTCTCATGTTTTCTCATGCAGAATCACCCTCTTGATTTTTTGCGCATAATTTCCGGACACCCTGTATAAGACCAAAACGCATTCAACCTTATAAGTGATGATCTCTGCTCATTTTGAATAACAGTTGTGGAAATGAATCTGGGTTTTTTTCATTCGTCGTTTTGATGTTTTGTCGTTTCGATGTTTTGTCGTTTTGATGTTCTGTCGTTTTGATGTTTTGATGTTTTGATGTTTTAACGTTTTGTCGTTTACCGTTTTTCAACATTTGACAGATGGTGTTTGAAATATGATGTAGGGAGTGGTAGGTTACAAAAACAAGGGAATATCATCGAAATAATTTATATTCTATAGTAATTCTTTTCTATAAAAATCGAATTTTTCTTAAGAAGGCGGTCGACTTTCATAGTGTGTCTGGCAATCGGGTCGATTATAATGTAAAAAGCATGGCAGCTTGATTATCAGGTCAAAATTGAAGCGATATACAGTGTCATTCATAAAGTCGGCATCATATGGGAAAAACTTTTATTAATGACTTATTTTGGAATTCGAGTTGGACGTTGAGTTTTGCTTCAAAAAAGATGAAAAATGACCTACTCAATCGGGGTCACGTGACTTTCGCTACATGTCAAAAGTGACATATTTTCTAATTAATCGCTGAAAGTAGGCTTATTTGTTCGAATATCGAAAAAGTTTACTTAAAAAAGTTGTTTCTATTTCAATTTTACACATACTTCTTGAATTTGATCTTTCTATTGCAACTTTCAGATTTTGATTTTTTTTTTAATTTTTCGAAATTTCTGTAATATTTGAAGAATTGTTAATTCCACGTAACTACTTCATACCAGTAGCTTTTTCATGCTACTTCCTTTCAATTACTTATTATCATTGATTATGGACAGAAATATGATTTTCTTCAAAAAATGATAATACCCGCTTCCAAATTCTGTTATGTTTGATGCAAAGTTGATATATCGTCAAGCATTTAGAAACGAAATTCATTTAAACTGATCTTTTCAGTACTGAAAAAATAAATTTGAATGAATTTAGTTTCTAAATGCTTGACTCGAACATAACAGAACTTTGATGTTATGTTTGCATCAAACATAACAGAATTTTGAAGCGGAGATTATCATTTTATGAAGAAAATCATATTTTCATCGATAAATTAGTGATAATTGATAATTGAAAGTTAGTAGCATGACGAAGCTACTGGTATGAAGTAGTTTTATCGAATTTATAATTTCTTTAATATTACAGAAATTTTGAAATTTTTTAAAAAATATCGAAATCTAAAAAATGTAATAGAAAGATAAAATCCGAGTCACATTTGTAAAATTTGAATAGAAACAACTTTTTCAAGTAAACTTTTTTGATATTCGAACAAATAAGCCTACTTTCAGCGATTAATTTGAAAAAATGTCACTTTTGACATGTAGCGAAAGTCACGTGACCCCGATTGAGTAGGCCATTTTTCATCTTTTTTTAAGCAAAACTTAACGTCCAACTCGAATTTCAAAATAAGTCATTAATTAAAGTTTATCCCATATGATGCCGACTTTATGAATGACACTGTATATCCAAACTATTGATAGGAGCATAGAAATTGTAGCCCATTTCCCCACCACCCAAGGGGGTAGAGCTCTGGCGCGTTGCTTCTTTTTTTAGTGGGAAGCTCCCCGATAGGCCTACTTTAACCACTTATGGTGATAAATAATTAGGTTAACAATAATGATACATTTTCGTATTTTTCTCCTGACAGCATGAAGATTTATTCCCAAATCAATAGAAACATTTCATTAATTCGTCTGGTGTATGTGTTTTTCAGACGACACGAAGATGCATTCCTAAATTAATAGAAACACTTCATTAATTCGTCTGATGTTTGTTTCTTCGAGACAGCACGAAGTTTCATTCCTTAATTAATAGAAACACTTCATTAATTCGTCTGATGGTTCTTTTCGTATGTTTTTTTCTCCAGACAGCACGAAGATTCATTCCTAAATTAATAGAAACACTTCATTAATTCGTCTGATGACTTTCATTTTATGTGGTATCTCATTTGATTGCTCTTAACTATCGATCTCCATAGCTTCATCTTTGATAGAATAGTGCCCCCAAGGAAGAGTTTCATATGATCCTGGAACAATATACCTCTTGTCATCTTGAGAGCTGAGAGCAATTTTTTCTTGCAAGATGGAATGAACCTGATGCTTTTCCGCTCTGATAAAATTTTGTGAAACGGTTTTATGCTCATGTGTTTCCAGACATTTCACATAATCTTCGAAAGTGATGGCTGTTTTAACGACGGATGATTTCACACCTTTCGCTTTCTTAATAACACCCATATTCAATATGATATTGCAGATTTCGTCACTATCATAATCTTCCTCTTGTAACTCTATCTTCTTCCTCATTATATCATCTCTAGTTACCAGCACCTTTGTGGAGTATAATTTAGATCGTAGGCCTACATAATCTGTCATTATGACAGAACTATTTTCATCTTTCATCATTCCTAGAACTTTCTTGTTAACCTGCGGAATTCCATGAATGTTATCACTGGGATAGTCGGAAGTATCGAAGTGGGTGTAACAATCTCGCTTCATAACTTTATACGGATCTAGACTTCTAATCTCATAGATGAGTGAGTCTGTGTCGGTGTAACAGATGGTACATTGATCACCAAACTCTCCATACATGTATTCATAGTGAAAGCCATATAAAGTTGTCTTCGCAAGATCTAGAATGGCTTGACCAACGTATATGGGCTTGTTTAACCAGATTTCCAATTTCTTGAGTTCGACTGCAACCAAGTTCTCGTTGAAAATTGTGCAGTTCTTGAACTCAGGTTTCGAAATATAAGCCTCAGCACCATATCTCCCAGCCCACTCTGTCAAAAGTCGAACGTTCACCCGCTTCCTGATATTTTCCATCGTTTTCCCGAAAACAGCATTGTTCATAAGCTTGAACAGATTCTTTTCAAATGTATTCTTAGCTTGTTGACGGAGGTTAGTGTTGAGGTCAATATATGATTTGAGCCACGTGGATTGTTGGAACCTGAGCACCCGATGGATCTTTTTTAACACTAATCCATGAGCTAATGCTTGTTTGAGAGTTCGGTAATGTATAACATAGTTTGTTTTATGATTCAACGTAGCCATCAACTTGGTGGGTTGAGAAGATCTTGTCGGAGGTTTCATAGTTTTTGGATTAATATGTTCGGGGCAGAAAGGCAGGTCTTTGTGAGCATCATGAAGCTTATGGGGATATTCCAAGTCAACTTCTAAAAAGTATCCTTCTGGCGTATCATCAGCAATGGCTGTTACATCAAGATTAGTGTCGACCCATTCAAATCCTCCATACGGTAATGCTTGGGACATAGCC